ACACACATGACTTATGCCCTTTAACTAATGCCTCTCACACCACTGTAAGCTAAACGGGAGGTCCGGTAATATGTTGATACACAGAGATTGGAAATACAGTCCAAGAAAAAGTCAAAACAGAACCTGGATTTTTTTTATTTATTATTAATAAAGTAAAACTATTATATTAATACTTTTAGTAAAAATAAAAACCATTCATATTTATTCAATTTATTAAACGCTGACGGCACTGAAATACACCCTTTTTTAATGTTTTTGAAAGAAGTTTGCTCGGTTCTGCTCACCAAGGCTGCATTGTATTTTTGATAAAAAATACAGTAAAAACAGTGAAATAATTTGTAATTTAAAATGTAAATGTAATATATAGTAAAGTGGGATTTATTCCTGTGATCAAAGCTGAATGTTCAGCATCATTACTCCAGTCTTCAGTGTCACATGATCCTTCAGAAATCACTCTAATATGAGGATCTGATGTGTTGAAAACAGTCGTGCTGCTTCATATCTTTGTGGAAATTTGATACATTTTATTTTTCAAGATTCTTTGATGAATAGAAAGTTCAAAAGAACTTTGGAAAATAATCATTTGTAACATTATAAATGTCTTCACTGTCACTTTTGATCAATTTAATGCGTCCTTGCTGAAAAAAAGCATTGGTTTCTTTCAAAACAAAAATTAAATGTCATAATAAAATACGATTATGTGTCACATTATGTAGACTAAAGGTGCGGTCACACTATATGTGTGATATTTTACATGACATAAAAAGTTGATTGTCCGTTGTGAAGCGATCGATGAACTGGCGTGACCAGCTTGAGCATGAGTGAAATCCGCATGGGGATTCACGTGACAAGGACCGGATTCGTGCACGAATGTTGTCGGAACGGCAGTAAATGTGACGGCGGCTGAGGAGTGTGTGAATGTAAGACTGACCCGCAGAGCTTCAGTCTGGGAGCCCAGGCCTTTGGTACACATCTCCATCACCGAATACGAACAGAAGGTCACTCGAGCTTTATACTGGCTGACCGCAGAGAGCCACAGAGACGCATTGGTCTCCAGCTCCAGAGGAGGGACCAGAATAGACTGATGGCCTGAGTACACACTGCAAACACAAACATTTACATTACATTAAAGGGACAGTTCACCCAAAAATTAAAATTAGCCCATGATTTACTCACTCTCAAGTCCTCCTAGGTGTAAATGACATTCTTCTTCAGACGAATACAATCAGAGTTATATTAAAAAATGTCCTGGCTCTTCCAAGCTTTATAATGGCAGTGAATGGCTGTTTCTGTTTTGAAGTCCATAAAGTGCATCTATCCATGATAAAAGTGCATCTATCCATGATAAAAGTGCATCTATCCATCATAAAAGTGCATCTATCCATGATACAAGTGCATCTATCCATGATATAAGTGCATCTATCCATGATAAAAGTGCATCTATCCATGATAAAAGGGCATCTATCCATCATAAAAGTGCATCTATCCATGATAAAAGTGCATCTATCCATCATAAAAGTGCATCTATCCATGATAAAAGCGCATCTATCCATCATAAAAGTGCATCTATCCATGATAAAAGCGCATCTATCCATGATAAAAGTGCATCTATCCATCATAAAAGTGCATCTGTCCATCATAAAAGTGCATCTATCCTTGATAAAAGTGCATCTATCCCTGATAAAAGTGCATCTATCCATCATAAAAGTGCATCTATCCATGATAAAAGTGCATCTATCCATGATAAAAGTGCATCTATCCATCATAAAAGTGCATCTATCCATGATAAAAGTGCATCTATCCATCATAAAAGTGCATCTATCCATGATAAAAGTGCATCTATCCATGATAAAAGGGCATCTATCCATCATACAAGTGCATCTATCCATGATAAAAGCGCATCTATCCATCATAAAAGTGCATCTATCCATCATAAAAGTGCATCTGTCCATCATAAAAGTGCATCTATCCATGATAAAAGTGCATCTATCCCTGATAAAAGTGCATCTATCCATCATAAAAGTGCATCTATCCATGATAAAAGCGCATCTATCCATCATAAAAGTGCATCTATCCATGATAAAAGTGCATCTATCCATGATAAAAGTGCATCTATCCATCATAAAAGTGCATCTATCCATGATAAAAGTGCATCTATCCATCATAAAAATGCATCTATCCATGATAAAAGCGCATCTATCCATGATAAAAATGGATAGATGATAAAGATAGATGCACTTTTATCATGGATAGATGCACTTTTATGATGGATAGATGCACTTTTATGATGGATAGATGCACTTTTATGATGGATAGATGCACTTTTATGATGGATAGATGCACTTTTATCATGGATAGATGCACTGTTATGATGGACAGATGCACTTTTATGATGGATAGATGCACTTTTATGATGGATAGATGCACTTTTATGATGGATAGATGCACTTTTATCATGGATAGATGCACTTTTATGATGGATAGATGCACTTTTATGATTGTTAGATGCACTTTCATGATGGATAGATGCACTTTTATGATGGACAGATGCACTTTTATGATGGATAGATGCACTTTTATGATGGATAGATGCACTTTTATCATGGATAGATGCACTTTTATGATGGATAGATGCACTTTTATGATGGATAGATGCACTTTTATGATGGATAGATGCACTTTTATGATGGATAGATGCACTTTTATGATAGATGGATGGACTTTTATGATGGATAGATGCACTTTTATGATGGATAGACGCACTTTTATGATTGTTAGATGCACTTTCATGATGGATAGATGCACTTTTATGATGGATAGATGCACTTTTATGATGGATAGATGCACTTTTATGATGGATAGATGCACTTTTATGATGGATAGATGCACTTTTATGATGGATAGATGCACTTTTATGATGGATAGATGCACTTTTATGATGGATAGATGCACTTTTATGATGGATAGATGCACTTTTCATGATGGATAGATGCACTTTTATGATGGATAGATGCACTTTTATGATGGATAGATGCACTTTTATGATGGATAGATGCACTTTTATGATGGATAGATGCACTTTTATCATGGATAGATGCACTTTTATGATGGATAGATGCACTTTTATGATGGATAGATGCACTTTTATGATGGATAGATGCACTTTTATGATGGATAGATGCACTTTTATGATAGATGGATGGACTTTTATGATGGATAGATGCACTTTTATGATGGATAGACGCACTTTTATGATTGTTAGATGCACTTTCATGATGGATAGATGCACTTTTATGATGGACAGATGCACTTTTATGATGGAATAGATGCACTTTTATGATGGATAGATGCACTTTTATGATGGATAGATGCAGTTTTATGATGGATAGACGCACTTTTATGATTGTTAGATGCACTTTTATGATGGACAGATGCACTTTTATGATGGATAGATGCACTTTTATGATGGACAGATGCACTTTTATGATGGATAGATGCACTTTTATGATGGATAGATGCACTTTTATGATGGATAGATGCACTTTTATCATGGATAGATGCACTTTATGGACTTCAAAACAGAAACAGCCATTCACTGCCATTATAAACCTTGGAAGAGCCCGGACATTTTTTAATATAACTCTGATTGTATTCGTCTGAATGAAGAATGTCATATACACCTAGGAGGACTTGAGGGAGAGTAAATCATAATTTTCATTTTTGGGTGACCTATCCCTTTAACCATGAGTGTACTGGCCTGCCAGCCGAAGCAGGCGTGATGTTGGTCTCTCACCTGCAGAGACACCAGAGGGCGAAGCCCAGGCCGCAGTAGGGGTCCAGGCAGATGGCGATCTGGCGGGACGGGTACAGCTCACACTGCAGCTTGATAGAGCGACACAAGGCACTGGTGGCAGCATGGGACATCTGAGACAAACACATGCTGTTAGAAGTGCCATCCCACATTTACAGATGAAAGTGTTACTGTCCCATAGATGACGATGATGATGATGATGATGATGAAGGGTTAGTCAGATTCACCTTGACCCCAGCCAGGATTCCTGTGGTCGACACACTGAAGTCCAGGTAGGCGAGCATCTCTGGGGTGGGGGGTTTGTAGATCTGGGGAATCCTCTTTCTCGGGAGATCATCTGAAATGGAACCAATAAACCTTATTTAAAGAAGACGTATTATGCTTTTTTTCACTTTCTTTAGTGTGTAATGCTGCTGGTTGATCATTAAAAAGCTCCAGTTCTTCTCTATATCAGTGTCAGTGTTTCTGAACTCCTGAAATGCCTCCATTGTGTCTTGAGTTTCTTCCGGGAACACCTCACAATATTCCTCATTATAATAATTAATACGCAGAATAAAGGGGCGGGGCCTGGTTGAGTTAGTTAGTGGTGTGTTAAACTGGCGGTTATGGTAAGGGGCGGGACATTTCCCAAACACACTCGAAGCGGTCGACCAATCACAACACAAGTCCCCAGCTGACCAATCAGAGCACAGTGTGCTTTTCAGAAGGAGGGGCTTCATAGAGACAGGAACTAATACTTTGTAAAAAGGCATAATATGGGATCTTTAACATTTCTTTTACATACAATGGGAATTATACAATAGTACATTGGTGTAAGTTGATGTCTTTACCTGTGTCCAGTATCAACGGCCACGCTTTCACGTCCACAGCAGCCGCGGCCTCTTTGGATTTCAGTAGTTTCATTATTGCTTGTGTTGTCAGAATACATACAGACTTACTGACCTGTCAATCATATGAGTACAGTTACAGTCACAAGAGAGTGATCAACGATCAGACACTGCTGATATACAGAGGATAGAGCAGCTAAAGGACAAAGTAATGCTTATCAGTCTTATTAAGACTTCATACATATGTAGTCTCCAGTCTGCGTTTGGGTCATTTCACCGCTGTGAGACGCGGAGCCTCGTTTACAGAGCAGTGGACAGGCGGATATGCCTTCCAGAAGACACTTACTGAAGTCTTTATCTACAGTGGTCCCAGAACGTCATTCAATAAATCGCAAAAATGGATTATTGAAAAGCCATTTGATTATTGAAAAGCAAATGGCATTATTTGTTTGCAGAACCAGTTGATATGTTAAATTTAATTTAATAAATGTATTAGGGCTGTCACTTTACGTTCAAAAATCGATTGCACAATCGATCGGACCAACCAACACAAGTATCAAAAACGAAAATAGGGAATCGATTTCTTTTTTTTTTTTTTTTTTTTTTTTTTTACCAAAAATGTGTTTTAGGTGGACAGATCAATACAGCACACAGAACATGTCGGATGTTGGTAAATAACAATGTCTTTTCTGTTCACCAAATGCTTTTTAATATTCGCTATTACTTCAATGCAAGTGAACGAGCGTGCCATTATGTGTTGCGTAGTGACGTGTGTGTGTGTGTGTGTTCAAGTGAGCCAGAAATGCGCAGATTCTGTGCAATACGCTGTATTTAATATATCATGAGGATCACGAGTTGCGTATTTGCGCTAAATCCGCACAGATTTGGCTAACACGAACTTCCCCAGCAAAGTGAGTAAACACAGAAACGCCAGATTGGCTCGTGATTTGACAGCGTTTCCCGCCAAAGTTAGTGTGTATGTTAGTGGAGGCTGTTAATCTCAATCCCTGAATGTTGCGCTCCTGTTTGTCATTGTCAAATCATCAGAACTATTGCTGACTTGTGCGTCTCAAGCGTCCTCTTTACGCTCGTCCTAACGCCTGTTAGGTGTCCGTGGATTTGCCTGTATTTGGTGTTGAAAATGGAAACGTCTTTAGATGGAAAATCGATTTTACAATCGCTTCAATGAACACTTATGTCTCAAAAATCAAACAGGATTTTTTCACAAAAGTGACAGCTCTAAAATGTATTGAAGCGTGACACGAGGGCTTCGCTACACCCCGAGTGACCGGCGTTCAGCGTCACCTCCACGATCATCTTGACGGTGGGCAGGGTCGTGGTTAGGTTCTGCGGGTGTGGAGGCCTGACGGTGACGGGGACGCAGCCGGCGTACAGGCAGCCGTAGAAAGTGGCGATCAGATCAATACCTGCAGAGTAGAGGACAGAGGAATGAAGACCTGAGAGAGGACAGCCTTTATCTGACCTCAGTGTGTGAGTGCCGTCCTCTCTCACCGGGAGGATACACCAGTGCCACATGATCTCCGGTGTTCAGTCGGCCTCGTTCCATCAGCGCCACCGCCACTCGCTCCGCACGCTTGTGCAGCTGCACACATGACGCTGTGTTGGCCACCGTGCCCTGAACACACACACACACACACACGGACACTTATAATCGGATCAAACGGACTGAAAAGCCTTCATGTAAACACCTTAACCGATACAAATGAGCTCGATCCCAATGTAATTTTGATCGGATTGAAAGAGGAGGTTTATTCCTTTTCTAACCCGATCGAGGGAACATGTGAACACTTGATCGGATTGAGAAGCGAAACTGAAAGGACTGTGCATGTGCGATGATGTAGAAATAGTGTAACGACGAATGAGGAACGAGCTGTTGTTCCTGATGAATAAACGAGTGTCCCGTCATCCTATAATCCTCCTTTCCCTGCGTGTGTGAAGCGGAGCAGGACAGCGGCCACCAGTGCCGGCTTCACACTCTCAGCCACACACGACTGGTTTGGGCATTTTTACTGCGTGATCAATATAAGCACAACGGTTCATATTCATAGTCTCCAAATCATGACCAGAGACGGATAAATATTAAGTCTGCTGTTTAAAACAAATAAAGAACCAATAGAGGAGAAGAGTTATGCATAAACAGCGGCAGTATATTCGTGCATGTCAAAAAATCAAAGTGACATAACATAAACGGACAAGGACAAGACCCACCCACTTTTTAAGACCAATGATATCAGACCCACTCACTTTTACCGTCTCTAATTCAGTGCATGTGTCTGTTCGCTTTTCAGAGCGCCGTCAGTCAAATCCACTCCACTTGAGGAACCCTAATAAACTAAACTCCATTTCTGCTGAATCGCTACATTATATTTCTCAACGAGCCGCAACTGACGGAAATAACCGCCCTTGTACCCTTCAGTCAAATATTGCGTTGCAAACATCAATAACAGCTTTAAGTTGTCAATGCTGGCAAATGCCCATGGTATCAGCAGCGGGATGATCCACGGATAGCTGTGCAATTAATGCATAACATGAAGCGGAGTTTAGTTTAGTTTACTCCAGTAACATGTTTCTGGGGGAGGACACACACACTTTTTTTTTTTGCTTCCGAAGCCCATGCATCAACCCGATTACTTTATTTATCGTTCATAAACACTGTGTTCGGATTCATCAATCGGATTGATTTGGTTCCGATTGAACCAAAAGGTGTCCATGTAGACGTGGCAGTGAGTAATATATATATATATATATATCCGAGATGTTAGCGGGCGAGAGATACCTTGGCGTTGAGCAGCAGAAACAGAGGATGGTCTGGAGTGGCCTGAGCTCTCCACTGCAGGACGTCCTGCAGATACAGGAACTACACAACACACACATTCAGACAACAGTGAATCTTAAAAACTACTGCGTATCAATGAGTGCTCTTACATGACATTAAAAAGTGCACTGTAATAATGTCAAGTCAAACGTTTTACTTTAAAGTACATTCGTTAACACTTTACTTGAAGGGGTGTGCATAAGACTGACATAACACCTTCATAATCATGACATGACACATCATGAATATGAAGGAGATTTTATGCATGTTTATAACAACTGTCATTAAGTGTCATTCACTCAATTATGACATTTTTAATGCAAATATGACATTGTTCGAGATGTCTTTGTTATGACAACTTGACATTACTAAGACACCACAACCTGTTATAAATATGTCATAAACATGACATAGCAGATTAATGATCACTTAGCTTTATAGGTTAGCATTACATTAAACTATCATGTGGTTGGTTTTGACATTGGCTGTCATGAGGCATTGTAACATTTTAATGACAAATTAAATGTGTACCACTGTAGTTGAGGTCAAGAAAAACATTCATAACACAGTTATAACGGCCTCATGACAGCCAATGTCAAAACCAACCACACAACAGTTTAATGTAATGCTAACCCATAAAGCTTTCTTAAGTTTGATCATTAATCTGCTATGTCATGTTTATGACATATTTATGACAGGTTATGATGTATTGGTTTATGTCAAGTTGTCATAACAAAGACATCTCAAACAATGTCATATTTGCATTAAAAATGTCATAATTGAGCGAATGACACTTAATGACAGTTGTCATAAACATGCATAAACCCTCATTCATATTCATGACGTGTGTCATGTCAGTCTTATGAACACCCCTTCAAGTAAAGTGTTACCATACATTTCAATCATTATGTAATAATCGTTTGTCATGGTTTAAGAAAGTACACTTATTTTGATGTGTTGAGTAAGCAGAACCTAAAGAACATTACAGTGAACATTAATATACAGTAGTCAACATTTGAAGTGGATCAAAAAAGTTCATTACAGTTGTTCTAAGACAAGAACGGGTATTGTTCAAATGTATATGTATACAAATGTTGACTACTGTATATTAAATGTACTAAATTGTAACTTCATTGTGTAATTACAAATGTATTTAAATACATGACATACAAGTTTAAATAGAAAAAATCCTTAAAGTATATTTGAGTTGATCCTAAATGCTTGTCAGTACAGTAATGTGTACGGTCAGATTAGTCCATGTTAGTTAATGCATGAAATAACAATGAGCAATGCCTTTGTTATTAATCTTTGTTAATGTTAGTGTAAAATACAACATTTCTCTTCGTTGTTGGTGACGCTTCAGGTCAGTGGCATTAACAGATACAACTTTTTAGATTTTAATGATGTATTTATAAATCTTGAATTTAGCATTAACTTATATTAATACATGCTTTAAAAGTATTGATCATTGTTAGTTCATATTAACTTCTTATTGCAAAATATTATCATAATTATGAAATTACATATAAAGATGTTATTAACTTGGTCACAAAAGCATTCTAAACTTTAACTAATTGCATTTAAAATAAATTTAAACTGTATTTTTTTATTTATTATTTCAATTAAGTGAATTAAATCTTCCTGAAAGCAATTTTTTTGAGATATCAACTTCAAATATGAAACATGACTTGTTTAGATTTATGGTTTTGATTTTTTTCCCCACCGTTTTAGAGTAAAACATGTTTTGGAAAATATATATTTTATTTAAAATTTTAAATATTATTGTTGTGCATTTTTCATAACAATACATTTATAAAAGTTCACTTTTTCTACTTCAGCAATAATCTGCCAAGTGTCGTCTTTAAAAAGAGACCAAACTGAAGTCTGTGATCCAAAGCATTAAAGATTTCGGATCGTTTAATTTGGAAATTTCATTTTCAGGTCTATGCTGAAAAAATTAATAAATGGATTATAACTACTGTATAAATATAATTTAGTACCATAAAATCCCATAAAAATAAAAATAAATAATATTATTAAACTAAAATATAGTACATTCATTTAATTGAAATAAAAAAAAAACTGTAATTTTTGAGCGACACGCGAACAGCACCAGAGGGTTAAGCATATTTGAAAGTATATTTTTCCACAATAAATACTGTTTTTAAAGTACTTGTGTGTTCTCAGTGGTTCAGGAGGTTGTAATGTGCTTTACCTGATCATGGTCTTCCAGCTGAGACACGTCTCTCCCACAGGCCTGAGCAATTCTCTTTCCTGCCACCAGGTTTCCCACTATCATGGAAGCAGGACCCACCTCTGAAACCACAGAGACGGCAGGTTAGGGCTGTCCAAACGGCTAAAAAGCTAAATTTTTATTTCTTTCAAAATTCGAATTATTTTTGAATTCTAAAGGCAATGCTTAATGTTAGAGGATAAAGGTACTGTATTGTCTCCTATGCCCACTAGAGGGCGCAAGCGAGCGCAATCAGCAAATATAAACCAAATCAAGCATCGCATCTTTTATTGAAACTAAATGACATTCACTTTTTAAAGTGCATTAACTTTTGAAAATTGTTCTTAAATAAAATATTATTTCCTTAATGTGCATGCAAGGAAAATTAGGTTACAAAAGGGCATAAAACTGTGTTTGTGCATCAGTGACATGAGAACACACACTTCAACACACAGCGTAATGAACAAAAACACAAGACAGCAAACTGCCATTCAGAAGCACTCCACTTCTCCTCACTACATCTACATATTCATATTCATATTCATATTCATGTTCATCAAAAACACCAGACGCTCAGCTTGATCTGAGCGCTTTCTGTTGGCTGTTTCCAGCTGATGAAAACACACACTCACACACACTCAGCTCTGACTGATGTAAAATGGTCAAGTGTGTCGTTGCACGAATTTTGCCTCCAACTGAGAGTGTTTTCGCCAGTATAGCCTTTTCCCGCCATTTTCACATTAGCAACGCAACCCGTGCCGGGCTGCTTCTGGCGGGGCTTGGGCAGGTTGGTGACGCAGGTGTGAGGGCACATGAGCACGTTGCAGGGGTGCACACACACACACACACACACACACACACACACACACACACACACACTCACCCGTGCCGGGCTGCTTCTGGCGGGGCTTGGGCAGGTTGGTGACGCAGGTGTGAGGGCACATGAGCACGTTGCAGGGGTGCAGGGCACACACACACACACACACACACACACTCACCGGTGCCGGGCTGCTTCTGGCGGGGCTTGGGCAGGTTGGTGACGCAGGTGTGAGGGCACATGAGCACGTTGCAGGGGTGCACACACACACACACACACACACACACACACACTCACCGGTGCCGGGCTGCTTCTGGCGGGGCTTGGGCAGGTTGGTGACGCAGGTGTGAGGGCACATGAGCACGTTGCAGGGGTGCACACACACACACACACACACACACACACTCACCGGTGCCGGGCTGCTTCTGGCGGGGCTTGGGCAGGTTGGTGACGCAGGTGTGAGGGCACATGAGCACGTTGCAGGGGTGCAGGGCTCCCTCCAGGAAGCGCTGCTTGCTCTCGGAGATGTGGATGCCGCCCAGGGGAGCTTTGGGGAGTGTGTTCGCCGGGACCAGAGCCAGACAGTACACACCCACCTGATGGATGCTGTCGATGGCCTGAGGGGGACAGAGGGGGGGGTGTGTTGTTTTGCGGACACTACAAGTAAAAACTTTGTACAAACCTATCCGGTCTTTATTCTCATGATTGAATTAACATAATGTGTGTGTGTGTGTGTGTTCACCTGTAGCACTCGGCTCATCCACTGGAAGCTGTCCTCCTCTGAAGCGTCTGGTCTCTGTTCTGCCACCACAACAATGCGCTCATCGTGCAGAACCGAAACAGAGAAAACTGCGATCCTGACAACACAGAATCACATGTCAGCCTGAGCAGAGACACATTCATCTCAACGCAAGAGGGAACTAACTCGCTAATCTGTCATTTTTAAATAACTTTAGCCACAGATTTACGTTTCTCTTGTATATGCTATTTGTTTTGTCATCTCCGGTGTTTTTTTCCCTCATGGGGTGTTTCTGGATAGCAGGATATGTTTGTAGTTGGTTTCAGAAAACATTGCTCGGTAACACTTTACTTGAAGGGGTGTGCATAAGACTGACATGACACCTTCATAATCATGACATGACACGTATTATGAATATGAAGGAGGGTTTATGCATGTTTATGACAACTGTCATTAAGTGTCATTCACTCAGTTAGGACATTTTTAATGCAAATATGACATTGTTCGAGATGTCTTTGTTATGACAACTTGACATTACTAAGACACCACAACCTGTCATAAATATGTCATAAACATGACATAGCAGATTAATTATCAGACTTAAGAAAGCACTTCGCTTTATGGGTTAACATTACATTAAACTGTCAGGTGGTTGGTGATGACATTGGCTGTCATGAGGCATTATAATTGTGTCATGAATATTTTTCGTGACCTCAACTACAGTGGTACACATTGAATTTGTCATTAAAATGTTATAATGCCTCATGACAGCCAATGTCAAAACCAACCACCTGACAGTTTAATGTAATGCTAACCCATAAAGCGAAGTGCTTTCTTAAGTTTGATAATTAATCTGCTATGTCATGTTTATGACATATTTATGACAGGTTGTGGTGTCTTCGTAATGTCAAGGTGTCATAACAAAGACATCTCGAACAATGTCATATTTGCATTAAAAATGTCCTAATTGAGTGAATGACACTTAATGACAGTTGTCATAAACATGCATAAACCTCCTTCATATTCATGACATGTGTCATGTCAGTCTTATGCACACCCCTTCAAGTAAAGTGTTACCCATTGCTGTGCTAAATATCAGGTCAAAGGTTACAGGCAGTGCATTTACCGTCCTCTGTACACAAACTTCATGGGCTCGACGGCCAGCGCGGTGGCCACCACATCATCTGCGTTATGCCTGCGCCCGCTCACCCCCATCAGCCCATCCAGCTTTCCCACCACAAACACCAGATTATCCTGCAACACCACACACATCCCAGTCCTCAAACATCAGCTCTGCATGGGGATTCATAAGACGTGTAAGAGCTCTGTGATGTGAACGCACCGGGCCGATGAAGCCCAGGAGAGACGTGCGTGTGAAGGGCCGGTCGCTGATGGGAGATCCTGATGATGTCACGGGAATGGTCTGGAAGAGAGCAGAACAACAAGTCTTTTCTCAGAAGGCTGAGATTTAATGAAATAAATCTATGCGCCGCATGTTTCAGAGAGAAGCGTGGCGCTGTGTTCGTTTACACGCTCATGATCCAGTGTTATGCTTCACAGTAAACCCTCGGTTTGAGTCAGTCATCTTCACATCCTTGTAATGAGAAGCTCTTCTAAAGGGATAGCTGTGGAACGTTCAATTAGTTAAAATGTATGAGACTGAAAGAAATGTAATTTATTGATGATAAATATACAAACCTGGTTGTGTGATTAAAATTTTTTTTTTTTTAAATTAGTTTATTAGTACTATTACAGAAATCTTAACTTTTGTACCCTTTTATTAGTTAGTTTTAAACTGTGCAAATCAAATCCATGGACATGTTTTATGCATTTCAAATACATAAATCTTAAATATAGGCCTTAATATTTGAGTTTAATCTTACAGTTGTACTGTAAAATCGTCATCATTATTATTATTATTACTTCATTATATTTTTCTTAAATACACAATTTGTCTATTTGTAATTTTACAGTGAAATACTACTACTATTACTACTACTAATAATAATAATTAAGTCATATTGATACATAATTTATCCAAATTGTGCAGCCCTACAAACAAGCACTGCAAACCTGGAGCTTTTTTTAATCACAATTTTATATGCAATTCACCCTTCGCAGGGAGTTTGATTGACAGGCGATCTGACCAATACGCCGAATCCGCCATTTGTCCGACAAAGCAGTCAGGAGGGTTAGTAGATTAACGTCGGTGGACTTGAACTTGAGAAACGGTGTGTATTGAATATACGTGGTTAAAACAACATTCCTTCTGATGTTCATTCATTTTAACTGAGGCTCTAGCGATCTGTCAGACACATTAAACAGCCACAAAATACTATTTATTGTTTAAATTTCTCTAAAAAATGACCCAAATTGAAAGTTGAGACTTTGTTTATATCAAAAGTAAGCTGGTCTGTCTGTCTGTCAGTGTGTTGTCAGTGTCCTCTCTGCTCCGCGATGTATTTTTAGCAACTAAAGGGAGCGGGTCTTTGTGAACAGTTAATTGTTTTGTTTTCTTTTCCAAATCCTTCAGCCCTAACTACCATTATTGACTGAAATTTGTTAAGGCCAACACTAGATGTTTAGAAATCCCTGGAGCCTCCAACACTCACCTCAAAGACATTCTTGGTCATTCCTGGCAGACCATAGTAAGAGATCCCCGTACTGCTGGAGCTCACACAGATCTCTCCCACCTCGTCCATTCGACACAGGTACGGCGTTCCCTCCAGCCGGATCACACACACCAGCGCTGCACACACACACACACACACACACATAAAGCAGTCAGAGGATTCAAAACAGGAGAGCGTTAAGCATAAAGAGACTAGGGGCCCTATCTTGCACTCGGCGCAAATGACTTTGTACACTGACGCATGTATCATTCCTATTTTGCACCCGCGCAAAGCGGACTTTTCCCTCCACAGACGCACGTCGGTTAACTAAGAAATACAGTTGCGCTCCCCGGGGCGGTTCAGCGCAAAGAGGAGGCGTGTTCCGGCGCAAACTTTCCCTAGTGCTATTTTGCTGTTCTATAAAACAATTGCGCCACTGACCAGAAAAAAACTAGTCTAAAGTCAGTGGCGCGTTGCGCGTTGTTCATAATGCTATTTTAAGGGCGCATGCTTGGCCATAATCAATGTAGCGTGTGCACAACGCGCATACACTTTGATTCTCTCATCTAAGCAGCAGTTTTCATTTTTGCAAATCATACATTATTACGATAGATAGATAGATAGATAGATAGATAGATAGATAGATAGATAGATAGATAGATAGATAGATAGATAGATAGATAGACAATTTATTATAAAAGCATGTAGCTTACACATTTACCCAAATTATCATACGCCTGTTAAACAGAAGTTAATTTGGGTGGGTTTCTCCATCCCCAATGTCACTTCTCTGTGTTTTACGGCCCTGACGAGAACGTTGCTCTCCTCGGCTGTGAACCGCTCCTGGCGCGCGCCTGGCAAATCCGCCGTTATAATAGGAATCCGCTTTAGAACAAGCGCGCCTGCTCTTAAAGGGAATGTGAGATGACGCTCTGATTGGTTTATTTCACGTTACGCCCAAACCACACCTATTAATAATGAAGCTACTTCAGACCAACCCCTTTTAGATTTGCGCCAGGCGCAAGAGGCATTTATCCCGCCGGGAAAAGAGCAACAGCGCCGGGATCCGCCCACAAAGTTACTTGCGCTTTACGCTTTGACACTTGCGTTTCAGATCGTTAAAATAGGGCCGAATATCATCTACATCCACTCAAAGCTCCATCACTCTATTCAAATCTGACTATCAGTCTATGGATCAGCGGCTACGTTCACATGCAACCAAATAATACGTTAGTAATCGGATTGACGGCTCAAACGGACTGAAAAGCCTTCATGTAAACACCTTAACCCTCTGGGGTCTGAGGTGTTTTCGGGGTCCTTGAGATGTTTTGGCATGCTCTGACATTTCTGCTTTTTTCAGTTGCTTATAAACATATTAATGGCACAGGTGTAATTACACTCTATATAGCACACAGAGGGCTACCATAATATGTGAGCAACATGTATGTACATGTTTGTATTTTTGAGAGAATATTGTTTATGCGTGGTTATTGAAAAAACTAAAAAATAAAGTTTCTAATATAAGGCCACAAATAACATACTAAATATCTGTCCACAAGACTTTTGACAAGTGGATGTTGTTGCCTAGAGTTTTTGCTTCAAATTGATCTGAAAATCATTCTGCCTAATCATTCACATAAAACAATAGATTGTTTTAAATTGTGAAAAACATTTTTTGTTTGCAAAGGCAATATGCAGATGGGCGGATCGGCCCAACCCCCTCATGAATAATTAGGCAGTTCTCACCTAAGCAGACTGCATACTAATGAGCCTTTCATTCAGGGGTGTCACACAAGAAAGAATGCAAGGACAATATATATATATAAATAAATAAATATTTATACACACACACACACACACACACACACATATATATATATACAAACAATCAAAATATAAATGAAAGCCAAAAGCACATTTTTAGTCACCTTTTAGCCATCCACATACCATTTTTAGCCATCCACCACGGTAAAAATAAACCAGTCACATTTCAAAGTCGTTCGCGAAATGACCGCCAGGTGGCGCAAAGGGACATTTAGCAAAACGTAAGCGGGGCTAATGTCTGTAGCCTAAGGATGAAATACTACAAGTTATGGTAATTTCCAAATAAGCCTACAACAAACATTTATAGCCTACTCCGTAATTGTTGGTCATACAGATAAGATATAATCTTTTAAAACTGTAAAAGGCTAAAGTATAGGCCACACTCACAGGCTAAAGACAAAACGTTTTCTCGCTCATGTGAGAAACAAACGTTCTGGTATTTCTCAGTGAGAAAATTCATAGCCGAGCGGTAGAACTTATGGTTCATCATCAAGATGACGCGGGTTCAAATCCCGCACAAGCCTGGTCTGTTGTAAGTTTTATATTTATTTAGATTTGTCTAGCTCTAAAACTCTGTTACACCATACAGTTTTTTTGCTTATATAAATAAAATACAATTATCATGCATTTCCATTTTACACACAAAATAGTACCCAACAGAACGACTTTGCATCTGTATAATAATAGGCTACCAATCGTAATTTCAAAAGCAGTTCTGTAATAAATAAATTATATATAGCCTATATATACTATATATTTTTTTTTTTCAGGGCTGCCAACTCTCACGCACTGAGCGTGAGACTCACGCAATTGACCCAAATCTCACGCTCTCACGCCACACCCCCGATTTCTCACGCTGTAGTGTCAACCCGGTCGGTCAAATTCCTAAAAGATATAGTTTATCTATAGATCTACCTGTTGAGCCACTCGTGATCGACTAGTTATACCGCAAATTAGTTAAAATATCCCGTAATCTATCTAGAGCGAGCGTGCATGCAAGACAGATATTGTGCTCCAAACCGTGCGCGCGCATGGCAGAGAGGTCTGTTCCCTACAACCTAGAGTTTTAAAAAACATGGTTTTAAGTAAAGTGTGATTTGCCAGGGGGGATTGGGATTTCCTTCTGGTCTAAACATCCCTGCTTCTGCTGAATTATTTTAATCCCCACACCCCTCCCTCCACAGCTAATCAATGCTATAGGCTACTTCACCAATATCAAATATAAAATAGAGATATGCAACAGGCACGTTTAAACGACAAACAATAAAATCAAAACCAGCGTTTCAGTTGTTCATTAGTTCCAGTGGCCTGAATGCATGCACGGCTTTTCAAAATTTCACAAAGCGTGTTGATGAGATTATTTTGAATGAAATATTGAAGTTTATAATTAGGGTGTTTTGGCACACCACGCCGAGTGGCCCTATGCATTTTTCTAAAGTCGGGTTTTATTCTGGCATGGCGAGTTAGTGTTCGACAAACGCGGCGGCGCATTCATTTAGATTAATTTATTTTTCTCATTATTACAGCTAAAATAACTTAATAGGCGACTCCGTAATTTTTTGGTCATACAGATAAGAGTAGAGTAGCTTACATCGTTCAAAACTGTAAACTTGTATTCATATTAGGCTAAGTTAGCCTGGCTAACGAAAAAACAGTATCTGTCCTCTCTGTCTCCGGGAACTGCCCGTCACAAAAATGAACCGAAAGCCACTTCAGCTCAGTCACGATAAGAAATCGGCGATGTCTAAAGCCTTTAAATGTCTAAATATTTAGGCTAATAAATGTTATCTGATTATGTAGGCTAATCCTTATGAAAACGAGAGGTACAGAGGATCTACTCAAACATGTAGGCTAATGGAAGCGCTTCCCAATGAGAAAATGACAAGACAAGGGTGAAAATCTCGCCCTTATTAAATGTAGGCTAAATCGCCCTGAATTAAAATGTAAAAACAGATCAAATAATGTATTTGTCGAAATGTTGCGATATTGTTTCATTTAAGTTCATAATTATTCTATAAATGTTATTTAATTTAGCAGCATTACCACGAAGCACCGTGTTTCGATATTTATTTGAATAATACAAAATAAAATAAAAACTTAATTCACAAATTGCATGCCTGGTTGTAAGGATCCAAAGATCCCTGTAGACTTTAATATTGATTTGAACATTTTGTTCATGACAACAAATTAACATGCGTTTTTTCAGATTATATTTAGTTTTGCTTGGAAAAAGCTGGCCCAAACCAGTTTTATTTCATCAATTATTGAAATAATGAAATATTTAGTAATAAACTTTTATGACAGAAATATCACTAGGCTACATGTAACTTAAATCATTTAATTCCTTCATTATCAACACTGTCTAGAATAGCGATTTAAGTGTGAATTGCGACTTCTCTTTGTGTTAAGTACAGCCTCAGACTCCGATAGCCTGTGGGGGGTTGGAGGGACATTGCTGGACAAAGGTGTTAATGTTCCTCTTTCATATGGAGAGTGTCGGATAGCCAGCCTGATGAGCAGGCAAAATTATTGTAAGGATAAATCTGTGTCCAAATGTAGGCCCCATATCTTATTAAATTATAAATATTGTAGTTTATTTATTGTAGCCTATTTAAAGTTTTTTTCACACAAAATTTCAATTGAAGTTATTGTAAGGTGAATTCAACAAGGCATGCTGTGTCTTTGAAGCAACAATTAAAGGCTAAATAATTTTTTCGTGATTTGTATGGCTGACACGCAGCGACATACAGTATTATCAGCTGTATGATGTGTTTTTACCCTGAAATGATTAATTTCGAGAGAGACGCGGCGCGTGCAGCGAGGGGGACTAAATAAACTTGTTAAAAAGAGATCCAGCGCGAGAGAGGCAAAGAGAAACGCATGTTTTTAATTTAATTATGTTTCTTTGGACAATTTTCGTTTTGTACTGTTTTAATTGTTTAATTTAGCTGTAATTTCTTTGGCAATACAAATTTAAAATGTCGCAAGAATAAGATTAGCCTAGTGTTTCTTATTTTGCATTGCAAAAGAAATAAACTCTAAACCCAATGCAACCCTGTTTTAAATAAAAAAAAACTGTCCCGGCACTTTATTTAAACCTTGAAATGAATGTTCGAACTTGGTTTCAAACTTAAGTAATTTTAGTGTTCTTTTACATTACACAATAATTTAGCAGACTAAAGACGAGCTTCTTCATTTTCATTTTCTGATGCAATCGGCTGACAATCTTCCTTCATCAGTTTGTGTCGTTTGTGCAGCGGCTGCGGTTATACAGGAATGTAGCAAATTTATGTTGTAATGATAATTAAACAAAACTATTGACTTTAAATAAGTAAACAGTTATAAACAGTTACCTATTTAAGCATCAAGGTGGTAAAATATAAACGCTGTAGGCCAACATCGGTTAACAACATGTATGCTACATTGAGATTCGGTCTCGGGTCGAATGAAGCTCCTAAGCTTGTGTTGTTGCGTTGATCACTGAGCTACAGTCTGTACGCTGTTAAAGTTGTAAAGCCTCATTGATGTAGCCTTGATGTTGAAATGTTTTCATTATTTATTCAATTACATTTCAGTAGCCTAATTTCAGTATTGTGATTATGAATTATTTTAACTACGTTTCACTTGTTGAATTCATCTGCTACCAGCTTTCAATCGCTCTGAATCAGCGCGGTGCGGCAGCAGATTACGCATTAGAGAGAATAAACCGGAATAAACGAACACTTTTCAGAGTCTATGATTGTAGCGCCTCTTAGCGGTAATTGGCAGCAAATACACCACACATTTTACCGCCGCGGTGGAACGGCTGATGTGGGCATTGTCATGGCTTGCCTCGACATTTGCGTTTGAATAGCGCGCGTCCTCCGTGGGCGTGTCAGATTAACGCGTAATGAAGTGTAATGAGCTGGGAAAAAAATACTGACAGCACTCTCTTTTCATACAGATTGCATAAACTGAGAATATTTGTTTTTTATATAAATTACTTCATTTAAAAGAAGAGAATTCAAGCTTCATAAAGAAAAATCTCTCGTGCCTGTGTGACAAGTAATCGCGGAGTTACAGTTAATCTTAGGACGCGTTTCAGAATGGACTGCACTGACAGACAGAACGCTGAACTCGCATCATGTTTGTTTTTCTTTATTTGGTGAAAAGCACAACACTTTGTTTTTATTGTGAGTATCCACAAAAAAAATAGAAACTAAACAGGATCTAATGATGTATCACACTTATATGTAAGATCAAAATCAACCGAGTATTTTGAGTCTCTTTTGCACTGATAAGAAAAAAAGCGAGACGCGATAGCCGACCCCAGGGGGTTAACCGATACAAATGAGCTCGATCCCAAAGTAATTTTGATCGGATTGAAAGAGGAGGTTTATTCCTTTTCTAACCCGATCGAGGGAACATGTGAACACTTGATCGGATTGAGAAGCGAAACTGAAAGGACTGCGCATGTGCGATGATGTAGAAATAGCGTAACGAAGAATGAGGAACGAGCTGTTGTTCCTGTTGAATAAACGAGTGTCCCGTCATCCTATAATCCTCCTTTCCCTGCGTGTGTGAAGTGGAGCAGGACAGCGGCCACCAGTGCCGGCTTCACACTCTCAGCCACACACGACTGGTTTGGGCATTTTTACTGCGTGATCAATATAAGCACAACGGTTCATATTCATAGTCTCCAAATTATTATTATTAATATTATTATTATTATTAAACACAGCCAGTGAGAGTGAAGAGAGTCGCACCTCCAGGCATGACCTGTCCTACATCTTGCACAGTGAGAACGGAGAGCTTCTCCTCGGTGTCGACCCGGATCACGCCGTAACTCAGACCGCTCATGGACAACACCGCTTTACCCGGGGGAGGAACGCCCATCTCCGGAGGCCTGAACACACACACACACACACACACACACCCGGAGCTGGCTTTGTTATGCACACCTGAGCATTCTGCCATATGCAAATTCAATGTTAGGCGGAAACAAGCTTCAACAGTGATATGTTGGTGTTGTTTATTAGCTGTAATGTGTTGTATATTAGCTGTAATGTGTTGTATATTAGCTGTAATGTGTTAGTGTTTATTAGCTGTGATGTGTTGTATATTAGCTGTAATGTGTTGGTGTTTATTAGCTGTAATCTGTTGTTTATTAGCTGTAATGTGTTAGTGTTTATTAGCTGTAATGTGTTGGTGTTCATTAGCTGTGATGTGTTGGTGTTTATCAGCTGTAATGTGTTGGTGTTCATTAGCTGTGATGTGTTGGTGTTTATTGGCTGTAATGTGTTGGTGTTCATTAGCTGTAATGTGTTGGTGTTCATTAGCTGTAATGTGTTGGTGTTTATTAGCTGTAATGTGTTGGTGTTTATTAGCTGTAATGTGTTGGTGTTTATTGGCTGTAATGTGTTGGTGTTTATTGGCTGTAATGTGTTGGTGTTCATTAGCTGTAATGTGTTGGTGTTTATTGGCTGTAATGTGTTGGTGTTTATTGGCTGTAATGTGTTGGTGTTTATTGGCTGTAATGTGTTGGTGTTTATCAGCTGTGATGTGTTGTATATTAGCTGTGATGTGTTGGTGTTTATTAGCTGTAATGTGTTGGTGTTTATTGGCTGTAATGTGTTGGTGTTTATTGGCTGTAATGTGTTGGTGTTGTTTATTAGCTGTAATGTGTTGTATATTAGCTGTAATGTGTTGGTGTTTATTAGCTGTAATGTGTTGTATATTAGCTGTAATGTGTTGTATATTAGCTGTAATGTGTTGGTGTTTATTAGCTGTAATGTGTTGGTGTTTATCAGCTGTGATGTGTTGGTGTTTATCAGCTGTGATGTGTTGGTGTTTATTAGCTGTAATGTGTTGGTGTTTATTAGCTGTAATGTGTTGGTGTTTATTAGCTGTAATGTGTTGGTGTTTATTAGCTGTAATGTGTTGTATATTAGCTGTAATGTGTTAGTGTTTATTAGCTGTAATGTGTTGGTGTTTATTAGCTGTGATGTGTTGCATATAAGCTGTGATGTGTTGGTGTTTATTAGCTGTGGTGTGTTGGTGTTTATTAGCTGTAATGTGTTGGTGTTTATTAGCTGTGATGTGTTGTATATTAGCTGTGATGTGTTGGTGTTTATTAGCTGTGATGTGTTGGTGTTTATTAGCTGTAATGTGTTGGTGTTTATTAGCTGTGATGTGTTGTATATTAGCTGTGATGTGTTGTATATTAGCTGTGATGTGTTGGTGTTTATTAGCTGTGGTGTGTTGTATATTAGCTGTGATGTGTTGGTGTTTATTAGCTGTAATGTGTTGGTGTTTATTAGCTGTGGTATGTTGTATATTAGCTGTGATGTGTTGTATATTAGCTGTGATGTGTTGTATATTAGCTGTAATGTGTTGGTGTTTATTAGCTGTAATGTGTTGGTTTTTATTAGCTGTAATGTGTTGGTGTTTATTAGCTTTATTAGCTGTGATGTGTTGTATATTAGCTGTAATGTGTTGGTGTTTATTAGCTGTAAGGTGTTGGTGTTTATTAGCTGTAATGTGTTGGTGTTTATTAGCTGTAATGTGTTGGTGTTTATCAGCTGTGATGTGTTGGTGTTTATTAGCTGTGATGTGTTGGTGTTTATGAGCTGTGATGTGTTGGTGTTTATTAGCTGTAATGTGTTGGTGTTTATTAGCTGTGATGTGTTGTATATTAGCTGTGATGTGTTGTATATTAGCTGTAATGTGTTGGTGTTTATTAGCTGTAATGTGTTGGTTTTTATTAGCTGTAATGTGTTGGTGTTTATTAGCTTTATTAGCTGTGATGTGTTGTATATTAGCTGTAATGTGTTGGTGTTTATTAGCTGTAAGGTGTTGGTGTTTATTAGCTGTAATGTGTTGTATATTAGCTGTGATGTGTTGTATATTAGCTGTAATGTGTTGGTGTTTATTAGCTGTAATGTGTTGGTTTTTATTAGCTGTAATGTGTTGGTGTTTATTAGCTTTATTAGCTGTGATGTGTTGTATATTAGCTGTAATGTGTTGGTGTTTATTAGCTGTAAGGTGTTGGTGTTTATTAGCTGTAATGTGTTGGTGTTTATTAGCTGTAATGTGTTGGTGTTTATCAGCTGTGATGTGTTGGTGTTTATTAGCTGTGATGTGTTTGTGTTTATTAGCTGTAATGTGTTGGTGTTTATTAGCTGTAATGTGTTGGTGTTTATTAGCTGTGATGTGTTGTATATTAGCTGTGATGTGTTGTATATTAGCTGTAATGTGTTGGTGTTTATTAGCTGTAATGTGTTGGTTTTTATTAGCTGTAATGTGTTGGTGTTTATTAGCTTTATTAGCTGTGATGTGTTGTATATTAGCTGTAATGTGTTGGTGTTTATTAGCTGTAAGGTGTTGGTGTTTATTAGCTGTAATGTGTTGGTGTTTATTAGCTGTAATGTGTTGGTGTTTATCAGCTGTGATGTGTTGGTGTTTATTAGCTGTGATGTGTTTGTGTTTATTAGCTGTAATGTGTTGGTGTTTATTAGCTGTAATGTGTTGGTGTTTATTAGCTGTAATGTGTTGGTGTTTATTAGCTGTAATGTGTTGGTGTTCATTAGCTGTAATGTGTTGGTGTTTATTGGCTGTAATGTGTTGGTGTTCATTAGCTGTAATGTGTTGGTGTTTATTGGCTGTAATGTGTTGGTGTTCATTAGCTGTAATGTGTTGGTGTTTATTAGCTGTAATGTGTTGGTGTTTATTGGCTGTAATGTGTTGGTGTTCATTAGCTGTAATGTGTTGGTGTTTATTAGCTGTAATGTGTTGGTGTTTATTGGCTGTAATGTGTTGGTGTTCATTAGCTGTAATGTGTTGGTGTTTATTAGCTGTAATGTGTTGGTGTTTATTAGCTGTAATGTGTGTAATGTGTTGGTGTTCATTAGCTGTAATGTGTTGGTGTTTATTAGCTGTAATGTGTTGGTGTTCATTAGCTGTAATGTGTTGGTGTTTATTAGCTGTAATGTGTTGGTGTTTATTAGCTGTAATGTGTTGGTGTTTATTAGCTGTAATGTGTTGGTGTTCATTAGCTGTAATGTGTTGGTGTTTATTAGCTGTAATGTGTTGGTGTTTATTAGTGTTGGTGTTTATTCGCTGTGATGTGTTGGTGTTTATTCGCTGTGATGTGTTGGTGTTTATTAGCTGTAATGTGTTGGTGTTCATTAGCTGTAATGTGTTGGTGTTTATTAGCTGTAATGTGTTGGTGTTCATTAGCTGTAATGTGTTGGTGTTCATTAGCTGTAATGTGTTGGTGTTTATTAGCTGTAATGTGTTGGTGTTTATTAGCTGTAATGTGTTGGTGTTTATTAGTGTTGGTGTTTATTAGCTGTGATGTGTTGGTGTTTATTAGCTGTGATGTGTTGGTGTTTATTAGCTGTAATGTGTTGGTGTTTATTAGCTGTAATGTGTTGGTGTTTATTAGCTGTAATGTGTTGGTGTTCATTAGCTGTGATGTGTTGTTTATTAGCTGTAATGTGTTGGTGTTCATTAGCTGTAATGTGTTGTATATTGGCTGTAATGGAGCCAGTGTTGTATATCAGCTGTAATGTGGCCAGTGTTGTATATCAGCTGTAATGTGGCCAGTGTTGTATATCAGCTGTGTTGTGGCCAGTGTTGTATATCAGCTGTGTTGTGGCCAGTGTTGTATATCAGCTGTGTTGTGGCCAGTGTTGTATATCAGCTGTAATGTGGCCAGTGTTGTATATCAGCTGTGTTGTGGCCAGTGTTGTATATCAGCTGTAATGTGGCCAGTGTTGTATATCAGCTGTGTTGTGGCCAGTGTTGTACATCAGCTGTAATGTGGCCAGTGTTGTATATCAGCTGTGTTGTGGCCAGTGTTGTACATCAGCTGTAATGTGGCCAGTGTTGTATATCAGCTGTGTTGTGGCCAGTGTTGTATATCAGCTGTAATGTGGCCAGTGTTGTATATCAGCTGTAATGTGGCCAGTGTTGTATATCAGCTGTGTTGTGGCCAGTGTTGTATATCAGCTGTAATGTGGCCAGTGTTGTATATCAGCTGTAATGTGGCCAGTGTTGTATATCAGCTGTAATGTGGCCAGTGTTGTATATCAGCTGTGTTGTGGCCAGTGTTGTATATCAGCTGTAATGTGGCCAGTGTTGTATATCAGCTGTAATGTGGCCAGTGTTGTACATCAGCTGTGTTGTGGCCAGTGTTGTATATCAGCTGTAATGTGGCCAGTGTTGTATATCAGCTGTAATGTGGCCAGTGTTGTATATCAGCTGTGTTGTGGCCAGTGTTGTATATCAGCTGTAATGTGGCCAGTGTTGTATATCAGCTGTAATGTGGCCAGTGTTGTATATCAGCTGTGTTGTGGCCAGTGTTGTATATCAGCTGTAATGTGGCCAGTGTTGTATATCAGCTGTGTTGTGGCCAGTGTTGTATATCAGCTGTGATGTGGCCAGTGTACCTGCGGAGGGCGACGGTCATGGCCTCGGAGGAGCTCGCACACGGGCAGATCGCCTCGGGACGCAGTCCACGGGCCTGGAAGACGTTCAGGAAGGCGTCGCAAGACGAAATAGACCCTGCGTTTCGACACACACAGTGAAGTTAGCCGACCCGGCGACAGTCCAGCATGAGTTTCACTCTGAGGACGTGCAAGCGTTCACTCACAGGGATTGGCTCCGTCAGCCACGATGAGCATCCGGAGGGAACTGAGACTGATGTCTCTCTGATCCCGCTGGGCTAACAGTGACCAGTGCATGTCCCGGGACTTCACCACTGCTACACGCGCTGGGTGAAGAGTCAACATATACTGTCAACACTCACACAGCATTCACTCACATGGTCTAAATAGACAGTTGTGCTCATGGATGCTGACTGGACAGCAATTCAGCTGCTAAAATATAAAATATAATAACAGCTGTGGTGAGAAATAGGTGTTTACTGTCTGGATACAGTGTATATACCAACTAGTAAACTTAAAATTACATGTGCAAAATCTACAGCAATCCTGTTTTCCTTCACTTCACAATGTTCTGTTTTCATCTAATCTAAATTTATCCTAGTAAAAATGTTATAAGTATTTATTTATTTTTTTGCAGTGAAAATTTCACACACACCTTTTTCTGTAGTTACATCATTACACCAGTAGGTGGAACAGTGAGTCTTTTTAAATATTGTGAATAAATCCTCATGATTCAGATAATATGGAGAAATAATCTGAAGAAATATACAGTACTGTCCAAAAATCCTTAGTTTCTTATGCGTATTGGATTTAGTTAAACCAAAATTTCTCCTTCAACATTTCTCACATTTTCACAATTTATTTGCTATAGTTTAGAATATGGTAATAAAATATGAGCAGAACTCAGAGTTCTCAGTGGATATTTCACTGGTTTTGTCCGTCCTTCTGTTAGACTCTCACACATGAATTATGTTGAATATCTGGCAGATGTTAAATTTAACTACACAATTAGATAATACCAGTTTAGCTCCACCAGTGACCAAGCAATGCTTCATGTTGTTCAGTCTGTGTGTAAAAAGCTCCATTAGTCATTAAAGAAAACACACTTCAGCAAAACATGATCAGCTCAAAGTGTCCGAGTCATTTTTGGTCCCAAATTGCTATAAATGTTACTGGTAGTCACTGTATGAAGAATATTTGGGTATAATATGTCACAGTTTACTTTATTTTGCTCTCCTCACTTACAGAAATTCAAAAATTATATCTGGTGTCTGAATCATTTATGGTTTGACTGTATTTGATCAAAAATACATTAAACAAGTAATAGTGTGTTTTCTATGCTAAACGCTTATTTTCTATGTTAATATGTTTTCTAATATTATTTATTCCTGTGATGGAAAAGCATTTATTTGAATTTTTGGTAACATTATAAAAGTCTTTACTGTCGATACAAGTTTAGTCATTTCAAGATACCAATTCCTAAATAAAGTTTTACATCAGTTCAGCAACTATACCATCTGGTTCTTCCATGTGTAAGTGGCCATAGCTCAGAGTTAAAAGCCCATGACACACACACACACACACACACTCACCTTTATAGGTGTGGACTTTCTGTATCCAGGAGAGAGGGTTGACCTTCATCAGAGAGTATGGGATGCTGATCACGTGCAGTCGGTTCATCACACTCTGAACACACACACACACACACATCACCACGACAGCCGTTGCCAAGGACACCGGATGGGAAAGCAAGAGACAGCTGGATGAGTGTGAGGGTATCGAACTCCTTAAGCATGTGTGTGTGTGTTTGTGTGTGTGTGTGTCACCAGATGTCGATCGCACTAGTGTGTGTGTTTCTGAGGACTCACCGTGAGCACCCCGTGCCACAGACCAGCGTCTCGTTTGAAGTCCAGCACGTTTGTTATAATCTCGCCTGTACACGTGAGTAAAAATCACAGGAAACATGATATATGATGTAAAATATATATGTATTGCAAAAAGCAAGAAATACTGTGGTCTACGTGACAGCAGCAAGTAAAACATCATAAATCATATCTCAACTTTTAAATAATCTTTCATTGTGTGGATCTTAATTACCCCTGATAACAGTTACATGTGTAATCAAACACAGTTTAAGAGATATAGAGGCAGAGCACAGGACAGCAGTGTGTGTTTACTGTGTGTGTGGAGTGTGTTAGGGGTTTCTGAGAAGTTATTTAGAGAGAGAAGTGGGACACCTAGACCTGCAGTGCCGGTCTCAGAAGAGCCGGTGTGTGTGTGTGTGTGTGTGTGTGTGTGTGTGTGTGTGTGTGTGTGTGTGTGTGTGTGTGTCGCACACACTCACCCTCTGTGTATCCACAGGCCTGTGTGAGC